CTCATGTTCTTTGGTTAAAAAACTGGTATATTGCTTTGAATTTTCCATCATTTGGCACAGGGGCTTTACAGATATAAATTACAATGGCAGCTCTAGGACAAAGTATGCAGGAGGAGAAGCATGGCAAAGTTGAGATGACTTGGATGGGAAACGAATCACAATAGTGTGTATTGCATTGGCAATGCACACTATTACAGATAGAACACTATACACTATTACACTATTTGCACTAATGCAAAAATTAATCTTTCTGCAGTTTGAGAACTAACTGTAAACATTCATAACTAATGTAGATTATTGACTCAAAGGTTTTGTTTGGAAGGAGTTTCTGTCAGGATTGTTTACACGTCTGAATGGATTTTCAACCATATCTGTAAAATTATGATGCATTGAAGGCTTCTGGGAAGATTCACAGTCTTTCGATTATTCTTTCCTCTAGTATTTTGCCCTTTGCTGTGTTTGCTGCCCTTTTTGCATGTCAGCATTGATGGAAAGGTTGCCTTTGATTTGTTCCACAGGAACAACAGCTGTGTGGGCTTGTTTAATGGGCTCAGTATCACCTTACTGGGTTAAAATCTAAATATTAAATACAGAGAGTTATATTTATTGTGGTTCTAGAAGAAAAACTGCGGTAATTGTACACGGAGAATGGAAATTAAGTTACTTTAAGTACTTAAAACAGTAAAAACTAGAAAAATGGCATTTTCTGCAAAAATACTGTAGGAATTTATTAGTTAGATACGGGTTTAAGACACCACACCATTTGTCTTAGTTTCCTTTTTAAGGCTTGACTTTTATAATATATTGTTTGACTATTGTAATGTCCTGATTAAAAGATTTTTAGGTAAATGCCCGAAACACCTTCACAACACATAAAAAACTGTTATAAATCCATAAGGGAAGATATTTTCTGTACGAGTTGCCTGCGATTCAGCCGTAGGCCAGTAGTGGGCGGATCAGGCACTGAAGACCTCTGCATAAAAAGACCGGAACTTCCGGTTTTCAGGCAGCTCTGCTTTTGCTGACTCCAGCCGGGAGCAATAAAAGCTTTGCTCTTAACCAGATCTGGGGTTGTATGGTCCTATGCTGTTCAAATTTTAATCTATTCAACATTTATGTGATTTTGTCTCGATTTCAGTTAACAAACATGAAATATTCTTACAATACCACGTAAATGCTTAATGCTGAAAGAAGCTGAACTCAATCTCTAATCTTTTTAATAGCAAAAATGTTATTGTGAGCTAAATTTGAACAGCTGACTTGTTAAAAGTAGGACAACAAAAGTGAAAAATCAGTAGAAATATAGCAAAAAGATCAAAAAATCTGAAAAGAGCAAACAAAAAAACTAAAATTAGTAAAACAATTGGCTAAAGGTAGATCAAACTAAATTAACAGATGAGGAAATGAGAGTGAAAAACTTTCAGATTTGCAAAAAAAACAAGAAGTACAAAAACAGGTTGTTTTGAAATAGCTAAAAATGCTGAAACTAGTGTAAATAGGAAAAAGTAGCTGAAATTAGCACAAAACCCATAGAAAGTGTGTTTACTGAATAGAGCAGGAAGCTGAAATTATCATTAAAAAAGTCAATTTAGCTGAAAAGCTGGCCAAAATGAACYAAAAATAGCAAAAACCACAGAAAACGGCTGAAATTAATAAAACGTAGCTGAAAGAAGCACAAAAAAGTTTCAATTAGCAGAAGAATGTTAGAAAAGGTCAGAATGATAGCTAAAAAGAAGACAAACTAAACTAAAATCAGCAAGAAGCTGGTGGAATCTGAAATTAGCACAAAGAAATAGAAAGAAAAACAGAGCAAAGGGTAAAAATTATTATATTGGTTTATGAACATTTTGAAGGGTTTTAATGATTAAGTTTCATTTTCAATGACCAAAAAGAGGTAGAAAAACAAAATATCACAAAAAGTATAAATCTTTGAAGCTTTAAAGTCACATATGGAACGTCCTGAAGGAGCTAAAGGTTTTGATATAGAAATTGCTGAACTAACGAGGTACATAACAAAAACTATACAAAAGAAAAACTTATGTCAGTAGTGTGGACTGCTTGATCCGTAATAGAGCCACCTTGAAGAGTTTAAAAGAGCACAGAATAATTCAATTTTTTTCTCATGCTCAGTCCTCGGGGTTATTGGTCAAAGACTCTGATTGTGTTCATGTAAAAACAAGGAGAGTGAGGGCGTTTAAAATCAGTCAGTGTTTATTATAAGAGATTCTGAGCAATAAACCCGAATAAGATGCTCATAAAAGTTATTTAGTCTTGGTTCACAACTCAAGGCCATAACGCATCTCAGGGACTCGTCATTTCTATATATATGGTCATCTTAAATTTGTCAGCCTGTTTATTAGGAGTTTAGTAAAGAGTTACAGCCGTTTAGCRGACGTGCATGCTTTGTCTCTCCTGCTGCGAAGAAAAATACCTTTGTAGATTTTCATCAGCTCGCTGTGTTGAACTTTTTATAGAAACTATAAAGTGCAGTTTCGATTTATAGGTTCCGAACTCTTGACCGCTTGCTTTTTATTTWTWTTTTTKTTGTTTTCACGGACAGGTGAACAATAARGTGGAGATAGAGCCTCGGCAGTTTGTCGACTGGATGCATCTGGAACCTCAGTCCATGGTTTGGCTTCCTGTCCTGCACAGAGTGGCTGCTGCAGAGACGGCGAAACATCAGGCCAAGTGCAACATCTGCAAGGAGTGTCCGATAGTGGGTTTCAGGTAAAGARACGCACTTTTTTATATTTAGTTTTAGAGTTTGTCAAACTTTGTGCAGCGCAGAAACTAAAGAGGTGATTACAGCTTGTGTAATAGGTCACACTTGTACACAAACTGTGACATTCTTCTGGGTTGTTCTCTCTTAATATAAAGGCCAGTTCTGCTCCAGAGGGCAGACATTTATCGAAATGTCAGCAGCTGATACACTTCTGAGTAAATACCATCTGTAGTTTGTAATGAAACACATTCACTTACTCAAAAGAAACAACTCAAACTCATAAACAACACAAAACGACATCAGTTGCACAAAGCGAAACAAACCTCCATGTGATTCTGTCACACTCAAACGCACAGGCGATCTTCTGCAGCAGCCTTTGTTTTAGTTTGCTTCTGATAAATTACAGTACACTGAAAGAAGTAAAGAAAAATCAACAATTTTAGTGAACCCTTAAGAGAAACTAAAAATCTGGTTTCACCTCTGACTTCAAGAGYTTTTTCCTCACTTGGAGATGAGTATAATGCTGTTCTAGGAGGAGMAGAGAGGCAGGGTTTTTCCTCCAGATTCGTTGCTTTGCAAGCAGAAAGAGAAACACATCCAGACGTTTGATGAAGCACACATCTCCCGAGCCGTGTCAGTGATCGATGAGAGCGAGCGATGGTGGGAGGGAAAGGCAGAGAGGAAAAATGAAAGAAGAGGGGGAGAAAATTGCACAGCAGGCATTTTGACACCAAGCATGTTGCAAGTCGATGTGCAAAAGTTTTGAACCAGTTTAGATCAAATTAGTTACGTGGACGTTKCACATTCTGGCTAAATGAGAGTATTTCAAATGGTTCACTTTAATAACTAAGTAGGATTTGAATGCATGTTAACATTTTGGTAGGTTTTTAGGAAACAAACACGAAGAATGAAACTTTCTTTCAGCCAGTGCTTAGTTTTTACACTTCATTGGTTTTAACAAGCACAGTGAAGAACATCAAAAAGTTTAATGGATAAAGTGTCACCAGTTTTTATGTTTATTACATATTAACTCTGCAATAGGGCTAGGT